CGTGATATTTAGAGCTAAGGTGGAATTGCCTATTGGGTTGTGTTGACAGAGGGCAGAAGTTAGAGCTTGCTGGTTTCTCTCGGTGATATATACTCAGAGGGCAGAGACAGCTACTTTGTCTCGGTGATGTAGTGACAGAGGGCAGAGGCTAGTAGCTCTTCCCTACTGATTTACAGGGTATTATAATTTTTCATATTTATACTTGTTGACTACGGGTCTCCGGGAGTACTATAATTTTGCACATACAATATACATGTGGATTTGATTCGACATGACATCAGAAGAGATCACACCGTGTATGCTATTCATGCGCAGTCTGGTCGAGTGATATCCTTCATAGTACTTGTAAAGTAAATTACAAACTGAGGCACGGCAACCGGAATGGGAATAATGTTGTCCCTTTGAATTTGAAAGCATGAAGAGACATAGAAATAATAGTGTGTTTATTCTATTCATGCAATCTTCTCAATTTAACTTTCACTGTATTTGTAGGAAAAATTACGAAATAGCAGATCTAAATAGCAAGAACAATTGTCATCTGGACTTGAAGGCATGAACACATAAGTAGAAAAAAATGCAGAAAATGAAGGCGTACATATATCAATTTCTACGACTGAATATTAATTTACATCTCAAATAATAGTTGGGCAACATTTCACATCTGTTAGAAAATCAGAGAAGATCAGCGAAAATTGTACAGCATGCATTCATTAATTTTCTAGTGGTGCCCCAAAACAATTGATTAGGTGGGCCTAATCCGACCAACACAGCGTGACACAATTGCAGACTACTGCCCATTGTCAATATCATCATCTCCCTCCTATTTTCCGCCCTTTCTCCTGTTATTAATTGGTTCCATCGGTCCATGCAGCTGGCCGTGCATGTGTGTTCTCCTCAGCCTGCTTTCGACACAACACATGTAAATTAATACCCGGCAAATACAACACTATCTGTCGGCATTGCGCTATCTTTCTTATACCAGGCAAATACAACACTAATTTTATCAAGTACAGAAGGACCAGAGTATTTTCGTTCCAGAGGAACACTGCAAAAATATGCTTTGTTGAAGCATCTACCAGTTGCATGGCTTCATCAAAATTTGAACTTGCATGGTTCAACAAAATCAAACAGTGAACTCTCATGAATATTATTTCAGACGGCGATGATGCTCTATCATTGGGATCAGGACCTCACATCTTAATGAAAGGAAGCAGTTAATAATCAAGTCTAAAATCTGAGTGAGACTTAAGCAGTCAAGCCCATTGCAGCACCATGTCTGATAGAAAAACACTAACAACGTCTAATAACTAACAAAGAGTGACTTGACCCATATATATGTCTGCAAATGCAGGTCACATATTACTACACAAGAAAACATATGAGGTTGATGCTGCTTCTTCACATAAACGATCATAAATAAGATGAGAAGGCAGACACCGCAAGCAGGAAGGCAAGACCTTCCAGCACAACTGTGATTCCTTCAACAGTGACGGTAGTAGCAGTGTCCCTGGGGACGTACCTGCAGTCACCCATATTGTACTCCATATTGTACTCCTTCTGTGGACAAGAGAACATACTTGTGTGAAGTTTGGGACTGCCAACGTCAAAAATGAAGAATGAAACTTGAGATCTTTGCCTGTTTCAAGTAACAGCATGTGGTTCTTTTCTTTGATAAGAAATCAGATGATACAAGGAAATAAAATAAAAAGTAGCACTTCTGTTGTATGTTTTGTAGCATATCTATATGAAATGCATGAGATTAACGAAGATGCAAGATGACAAGACTCACCTGCTCATTGTGGCCAAGGCTATTCCGTGTTCCATCCCTTAACATTGAATGCACTTGAACAATCCTTAGGAATCCATGTCTCATCATGCATTCCAAAGAACCTGGATAGAGCAACTGATTGTGAACCAAACTGATTTATAAGAAAGATGTTACAAAAGATCAATCTACTGTCTATTGAATACTGATTTCTTTCTTTGTGATCCTTGCAACAACAAAAATCTTGACTCTACTCGTCATCATAGTATAGCTTGGTCAGAGGCTACTTCCCCAACCATCATTAGAAACTAAACCATCTGGGTATGATGAAATCAAGGGTCCTTCTAACATGACATTGTGTGATGTTTTGCACCAGAGAACAAAATAAAATTTGCTGTGGCGAAATCAGTAGCATAGAAGCAATAAGGAAAAACAAAAATACAAGTAATATGTACAGTAATAAAGTATGTGATGCAAAATGCAGTAAACAATTACAGTCCCATGTAGTTATACCAGATGAAAGAAGGATATAAAAAAATAGATCACCAAATGAAGCTCACACAGCTATTTGCCACCAATTTATCAGACAACATTGTACATGAATCTGCAATACTTACATACAGTAGATCAGTAGTGCTACTTTTTTTAGATGAATAGTGCAACATTTAATTAGTTGATATATGAAACGTAATTATATAACTGATGCCACTAACTACATCGAGAGGTCCAGACAGTTACTATGTTCTCACTTCCGCGGATACTTCAGTTCGAGTGGATGTCGACATGAAACTGCATTGCCATGTCCGCCAACATATTCTTTCATAAAGTATCAATCAAAACTGGAAATTAGTGTATTGCAATTGCCACTTCCGATGTTCAGGTTCAATTCATCATACAATTATGGAATATTAACACTGGAATAAAATATGACTGTGCAACACTTCCTTTCCTCTCGGATGTAAATATGAAGATCGAAATCCGGAATTTCCGAGTGAACCTGCACGTGCATTCTCACAGAACCCGAACGACCACTTCTCCTCTCCTCGCCATAAACCTTCACACAACACATCAGAAAATAAGAATTAGAACATCTGAAAAAAAAGTGCCAAGCAAATAGGCAGAAGTACAGAAAAATTTACCATGGCGGAGCTCGTCATCTGGTGGCCACGTCATCTCCGACATGCTAGAGTTGGCGACGACGCCATCTGCTATTTTCCTCGTGCGGGAAGGGCACGGAGACGTTGACAACAGTGACCGCCCCGCCGGACCATGAAGGGCATGGTCTTCATGGAGAAGAACTGGGACGTTCAGAAGAGGCGAGGCCGGGGTCTCCCATTAGTGCACGAGTCACGGGAATGGAATGATGACCGGCCGGAGATGAGCGTAGGCCGGAAAGAACGCAAAATCGGGGAGGAAGAAGGCCAAATCAGGATGGATACACCGCCTCCCGCCCGAGATCACGCAGAACATGAGAAAGGGTAGAGGGCCTCGCACGCAGAATCCACCTCACCTCTAATCTAGCCGGTCCTCGATGTCTCTTGCTCGACGGCTGGCCTCCCCATGCGAATCTTGTGCCGTTGGTGGCGTGGCTGCTATGCATTGGAGGTGGCGGTGGCACGATGCCGTTGCTTCGTCCCCTCGGTTGTACGTCTGCCACCAGCTCCACGCGGAGAGAAGATCGGGGTTGGAAGCAGCGTGAGTAGGGTAGATCGGGGTTGGAAGCAGCGTGGTGAGGTACGCGAGGCAGTAACCGTCAGGAAGGAGAAGACCCTTTTATAGGCGTATACGGCGGCCGACCGGTGGCACCACACTCATCTCGAGTCTTCGCCAGAGGACACCGAATAAAATATCTAAAAAGCCACCCCTCAAGGTAACGTGAGACAAAAAAGAACTGCCCAGAATGCTACGTGCCCATCGATGGCATAGGACAGTCAACAATGCATCAGACAAACGTGGCCACATGCAAGAACCAGACAGCGTCACGTGGGACAAGACCAGCCCACACACATCTAGAACAGGCACGTGAAATCAAGCCTACCATGCTCACAGTCAACCCAACTTAAAAAACAAGGAAGAACCTTCCCGATGCACACGCGTCTATAGGCGGAAGCACATAACGTGGCAATGGCAGCGCTAAGAAAAACGTGCGTAAACAAGTTGAGCAAGAAAGAAATGAGATCGATCACTTCTAGGAAACCATCATGCACACGTGTCGCTCAAACAACCACGGTAAAAAAAAATTCCAGAAAAACCAGAAAAAAGGAACCCTTACGGGCCTAGTCTTCTTAGTATTAGCAATAAGAGCGCGAGAGGGAATTGGTTACAGTAAGCAGTTCTCGGCATGGCTCGGTTTGTAATGGACCCGAATGTGAAGCCAATATTTGAACAAGGCACACCGGGAACCGATTCTCGAGATTCCCTTTCATTCTAAAGGGCCATGAAATGATGCGTCATGGAGCTAGCATCTCACCTGTTATTAGTCGGGCACAAGAGCCCGTAGAAGCATGTATGGCTTTTGACATATGTCATTTAAGAAAAGGGAGTAAATGTAGCAGCTCATAAACAAGCAGAAGTTGGTTCTACATCTTACACGGTGCCGGAAGACATTGTAACCTTATTATTGTTAATTACCGATCCTCTTGTTTGATTTCGCAAAACAAGAAGAAGAAGATGCTTTAGTCCACTGATCTGAATATGCTTTCTATTTATGAATTCTATAAATCAGAAATGCTGCATAACCTTGGGATCTAATTATGAAAAAAGAGTAAAACCTCTTTTTATTTTTCCTATTTTTTTAGAAGAGAGTAAAACCTCTTCTTCTTCTTCTTCTTCTTTTCCTTTTTGAGAAGGGAGTAATAAAGCCTCTTCAAGCGTGCAACGGTCACTCTCGGCCTGGGCCCATTCCCAAGTTGTGCCAACTCTCCCCAGTGGGCCTTGTGCCCTGGCCCACATGTCATTCAGGAGGGCAGCAGGTGACACTACTTTTACCTCAAAAAAAAAAGGTGACACTACTCCTCCTAAACCCAACGCGTCCCCAACAGCTCCACCCCATCCCCTCCTGTCAGTTCGTCGTCGCCGGCCACTTCGGCTCTCCCGCCGCCGCCGCCCCCTCCAAACTCCCAGCTCCCAGCTCAGCCATTGGATCTCCCCCTCCATGCCCAGAGGCAAGTAGATAGACCCCCCACCGGCGCACGAACCTCAAGGCAGGCAGGCAGCGCGGCCGGCCGGCCACCCGATGGCGTCCGTGGCGGAGCTCAAGGAGAAGCACGCGGCGGCGACGGCCTCGGTCAACTCCCTCCGGGAGCGGCTCCGCCAGCGCCGGCAGACGCTCCTCGACACCGACGGTGAGCCCGCCCCCTCCCCCGGCACGGAGCTCTCGGCTCTCGAGGGTTTGCTTGAAACTGTCGCTGACTGCTCTGTGTTGCGGGCGTGCAGTGGAGAAGTACTCCAAGGCGCAGGGGCGGACGGCGGTGAGCTTCAACCCCACGGATCTGGTCTGCTGCCGCACGCTGCAGGGCCACAGCGGGAAGGTTCGCTCCTTTCTTTGGTTGACTTCTTCGGCCTCTCGCCTCCGTTTCGGCACAGGGGGTAGTTCAATTTTGAAGCAGAAATGAGCGAGGTCTCGCGCTTGTTAGTTGTTGTTAGTGCTCCAATTGTGGAAATGGTGGTGCTAGCATGAGCAATTCATAACCGAGTTTGATTGCCGAGAATAAGATTTGGACATATGTGAAGGAAGTAACCTGGATTAGTATGAGGTTTGGTCCCTCCAGTCTAGCATGAGCAATTCATGAGTGCTTGTTTTGAAGAGGCTGCTGCTTTGGCCTAATTTTTCATGAATTGAGACACAGCCTTTTTAGACTAACTTGAAGTCTGCTTCGGGAATGGTGGTGGGAATAACTTCTGTTAGAGAGGAAGAGAAGGTAGCTTCATGCAAAGGGAGCAGAGGAGTCGTGCCTATTGGCGCCAAAAGCAAAAGGAAAATCGGGGCAAACTTGTCTTTTTACCATACTCATGGCGGTAACCGAAAAGACGACAACAAGGTCGTCGCGCATAATTTTACATGTTAAGGAAACTGGGCAGTGTTCAGTTGGCTAGAGCCCGCGCCTGTGAGCTCGCCCACCCGCGTTCGAGGCGCCGCCTCCGCAGGTGCCTCACTTCTTATCAAATAAAAAGCTCTCAGTGCTAGTACCCATGGGTCGACTTCTCAGGGTCGTTGGGCATAATTTTACGTTTTATAAGGATTTTGTTATCGCTGTCGCGGTCCAAGAAAATTGCAGTGTTATCTAGCAAAATATCAGATCTCTGGTATACTCTAGAGCCAAGTCTCACGCAATTATGGATGCATTGAAGTATTTAGCATCCTATGGTTCTTAGTTTACTATTTTGGCTATGCATTCCTAATCAGGTAATCATGCCTATTGGTAGAATGTGTAGTTGGGTTGAATTTGTATGAGCAGTCTACTGGAATCTGTTCCTTCCATTGTCCCGTACCCTTGTAAATGAGTCAATAGTACAACCAAAACTTCAGTACCAACACTAACAATCTGTGAGATGCTCATTGATGTCCCACGTGGAATGTGCCACTTGCAATCACCGCAGCTCAAGGTTGAGCCTGTTGGTGAACCCGTGTGGCCTGATTTAAACAGTCCTAATCCCTCTCCATAGTAGCATTTCCTTGGTAATTATTTCTGTTTTGCTTTGAAATATAACCGCCATGCTGTTCTGTAGTCCTTTTGTGTGAATCCCTCTTTTTATTTGAGGGCATGTTATTGTTTGACACCAACTGAAATAAAAAATATGTAGCATGGAAGATCTTTGAGTTTCAAGAACAGGTATGCGGGTTGTTACCAATTTTTAGAGCATTGCAATTCACAGAAAGAACCCTGGTGCTAAGATTTTTTGATCGGTTGGTCCCTCGAACTGCTCTATCATGCCTAATTATATGCTCCGTCAATTTGTTTTGTTTGTTGAGCGATTTGGATTTCCTTCTAGGACAGTACCTCACAAAGTTGCTTATGTTGAAATGTTTAATGGCTTCATGGTTTTATAACTAGTAGTAAGTACTATCTCTGACTCAACACAGGTATATTCTCTGGATTGGACTCCTGAGAAGAACTGGATAGTTAGTGCCTCACAAGATGGAAGACTAATTGTATGGAATGCTTTAACGAGTCAGAAAACACATGCCATAAAGCTACACTGTCCATGGGTGATGACATGTGCTTTTGCACCCAATGGTCAATCTGTTGCTTGTGGCGGTCTTGATAGTGCATGCTCTATATTCAACCTTAGCTCGCAAGCAGACAGAGATGGGAACATGCCAGTATCAAGAGTACTTACTGGACACAAAGGCTATGTTTCATCCTGTCAGTATGTCCCAGACCAGGAAACCCGCTTGATTACAGGCTCAGGTGACCAAACGTGTGTCCTGTGGGATGTTACTACTGGCCAGAGGATATCAATCTTTGGAGGTGAATTTCCATCAGGGCATACAGCTGATGTGTTAAGGTAATTGTCTTTTTCTTATGGCATTCAATTTAGCATCATGCTTACTGTTGTGGTATATTGGGGGGTGTTTGGATTGAGGCCTATCAGGCAGCTATTCACTCAGGCAGAGATCTCAGCCTCAGGCCTTCAAAATCGGACACCTGAGAATCGTGCCCGACTCAGGCTGCTTTTTGTGGAAGCGATCCAAACAGGCCATTGGTTCTTATTTTATGACCAAAACAATGTGATACTGTTCAAGTTTCATTGATTATGTTGAATTGAATGAAGTTCCATGGTATTGATTTGAAAGCAACACTCATTAATCTTACATCTTGTCTGACTGGGCCGTATTTGTAAAGAAAGAATATGTTTCACCTTTTGGCGGTGCAAGTTTACTTTTAAGGGCTGGCTGTGATTAGTAATAAACTAATAATCAGTGGGAAATGTTACTGCATGGTGGCACATGCAGCGTTTGGTCAGTGAGACTTCTCTGTCAATTGTTGTTGATATAGATCATCAATGGTCTAATTATTAATCAAGTAGCTGATGTGATATCTTGGCAACGTGGCTGCATGCTTGTTTCACAGCTTTATAAGTTGCTATACTTTTTATGTCCATACTCATAGTGTTCTGATCTTTTTGTCACCCCTTTCAGTCTGTCCATCAACTCGTTAAACACGAATATGTTTATCTCGGGTTCATGTGATACAACTGTAAGGCTATGGGATCTCAGGATTGCAAGTCGGGCAGTTCGGACATATCATGGACATGAGGGCGACATTAACAGTGTCAAGTTTTTCCCTGATGGTCAGAGGTTCGGTACTGGTTCAGATGATGGTACATGCAGATTATTTGACATGAGAACAGGCCATCAACTTCAAGTGTACAATCGGGAGCCTGATAGAAATGATAATGAGCTCCCTATTGTTACATCTGTCGCTTTTTCCATATCAGGAAGGCTTCTTTTTGCTGGATACTCTAATGGTGACTGTTATGTGTGGGACACGCTTCTTGCCGAGGTGTGCATTTTACCCATTTCCCATGAATTTTATTGCAGCGTAGATAATGGGATGAAAACCAGACATGTAAAAATAAGACTGATCAAGTTTTACTGCGAAGCTACAACTAAATTTTATACGGTTGAAAAGGAAACATAGTTTGACTATACAATTTATTTACCATAGAAAAATCAGATCAAAGTTCAGAAATGCTAAGCCTGGTTAGTAACACCACAAGATTGATCTTTAAATTGCATAAGCTTCACTTCATTACAGTCCAGCAATAGTTTAGCCATTCTGATGTGATTGTAAAGCTGTAATTATCAAGTGAAAATTAACCACATTGGAAAAGAATATCAGTTGCGGAGAACTAGCTGCATTTCCCCTTTTGACATATGCCTCGCAAAATAACAATCATGATAACACATAATGCGTTGTTTGCATTTGGGTATGGTCTACTTGAGTACGCATCCCATCTTATGACATTAGTTTCTGCAGCATCTCTATATGCAATTCATGCATTAATAGTATTGTTGTAGATCACCTTGTAGATTCCTGCTATAGGCCAACAATGCTTCAGAGAATAGAGTTTAGACTGCACCAAGCTGCCAACACAAGGCTTTACTGCGAGTTGATCCCATACTGTTAGAACCCTCTGGACCTGATGAGTTTATCCCCAGTGGCCAGTGAACTATCCATGCTGTTTGGCTGAAGGTTGCGACCTCGTGGTTCGAGCCACAATTAGTTTTCAGTTTTTTGCAGCGCCTCCTTCGGCCATGCTTTTATTTTTAGATTCAGGCCCTTTGGTGCCTTGTGAGCCTTCAGTTTCCTTCCTATAATTGATCAGGAGGAGAGAGTGCCCACAAAAAACTTACATATTCTAGCTTTTATGAGCTCAAGCAATTAGCCTATTAGGACTACTCTTGTGGCGTTTGGTGAAATATAGAACATCTGCCGCATATCATGAATCATCCATTTTATTTATTGCCTATACTATTAAAACTGTGGTTGACCTGTGAATACTTTTTAAAAACGACTCAGGTAGTGCTTAATTTGGGAACTCTCCAAAACTCTCATGAAGGCCGTATAAGCTGCCTTGGGCTGTCATCCGATGGGAGTGCATTGTGTACAGGAAGCTGGGACAAAAATTTGAAGGTATGGGATGAGCTTTCAATATGAAAAATAAAATAATATTGTGGACTACTTGATCAGTTGAATGGCATGGCATGGCATGAACTGTTGTAGGGCAAAGTTTACATATACCAATGCCATTACTCTAAATTGGGCTAGAAAGGAAATATCAGTTGTAGGACAAAGGTTACATACATAGGACATCTTATGCTATATTTCCAAAATTAATGATGTCCATCTTTTGAAACAATTGTGCACATTGTGGTACATTCAACATATACTGAAAGGGTGCATGCTTTTTTATTTTGCAATATCTGCTTGTTTAGCTCTTGCTTTGTTATCAGCAAAAGTACTTCTTGGTGGGTTATAGACAGATTTCCCCTCTCAATGAGGTACTACTATTTGTTACTAATGGAGAGACCTGCAAGTGAAATGGAATGAACTTTAGTCAACTCCAGCATTCTATCTAACCGTCGGAAAATTGCCGCTTGTTGAAAATTTCCAGATCTGGGCTTTCAGTGGACACCGCAAGATAGTCTGAAGCCCCGGCGCGTGTTCTCCCCGTGTCGTGCGTTCCTCATCGCGTGTTGGGGGTGGTTGGCCAACTCGAAAGGTTGCTGGAGATGAAGTCGTCGTCTGTTTTGTAGCATAGGATCTTGTATGCATCATGCCTTATGTCCAATGGAAAATGCAGTTTGTCCAGACGAGTGTGCTGTGATGATGTTCTTGTACCTGGTTAAGTCAGCGTACTGTTGTTTATAGAGTCGCCAGAAAGCAAGCAGCGCACATGTGATATTTTCTGCCCTTGTTGTGTACAACCATATATTTTTAGCTGTAGAAAAGCACTAGCTTGGCAAGCCGAATTGTTAGAACCAAGAATCAATTTGTTCGTTTCTGGAGTAAGGTAAGAAATGCGAGCTTCATTTCCTGTGTGCTGTGATGGTTGACGGGTTCGTTCAGTGAGCCATTCGCTATCGTGTTGCCTCTTGTTGTGTACTCCATCCGTTCCAAAATAATTGACCTTCATTTGTCCAAGAATGGATGCACCTTCATACTAAAACATGTCCAGTAGCCCACGCATTTCACTGTGGGGTTTTCAACACCATACCCTGTGAAAAGAATCCTTTGTTTTTTCTACGATGCAGTCAAACAAACCAAAATTCTTAGAATTCCAATGGACATGACATTGCAACCCTAATATTTTCTTGTAATTCTTGCATTTTTAGAATGTTTGTGAGTCTTGTTTGATTTGAAGGATTCTCAAAATGTAAGAATAGAAAGTGTGCAGGGTTCGGGTGTTTGATAGCACAAGAAAAGCAAAAGAATTCTAATGGGCTCCTTTGATTCAAAGGAACTTCATACAGTAGTATTTTTTTGTTGGAAAATTGAACACCCCAATGGGAGTTCTGAAATGTTGCACGTAGGTTGATTTGGTCCAGTTTTTTTTTTTTTTTGAAACCTCCGCTCGCTCTCCGGATTTTATCCATTCAGCGGTAGCAAATCTGAGTGCACAGCGCATCTCAGAAAGCCAGGGATTACATTAAAATATGTAGCAACATTTTCTACAACTAAAGCTTCCTTAGCACAAGTATGAGCAACAGAGTTCACTAGACGGCTAGCATAACGAAGCTGAAATCCCATCGCTACTGCTCATTAGCAGCAGGTGTATGTCGTGGGGGGAAACTCCAGCGTCCCCACAATTTCAGAAATAACCTCCATGGACCGCTTTGGTCGATATCTTTCTTCATGGTGAGTGAACCTGTTCCGGCTGCTCCAAATAGCCCACATCACCGTAATGCCAATAGCTGCATCTTTCTTTGGCACCAACCTAGCATCGAGCAAATCAGTAGCCCAAGTGTGTGGATGGAGTTTTTCTAACATTCCACATTCAGAGGGTCTGCAATACACACGACACAACTGACTCAAAATTCTGCTGGAGTTCAGATGCTGGAGTCATATATGCAACATGAACTTCTCTAATCTGGCTGGAAGAGATCACGAGATTTCATTTAACATCGGCCACACACAAATGACACAACCATCAAAAGATGGGTACCTTCCCTAGGGTTCCACCACCAACCTAAACCTTAACACAGACCACTTCTCTAGATCTATCTACCAGGGCTCGAAGCTCAAACGCCGGTGGACCCAAACCCTCCCTCCCCACGGACGGTGGCGTCGAGGTCCTCCACCTCGGCGATCTCTGGCGTCGTAATCACCTGGATGATCATCTGCGCGACGCGGTCACCGGGCTTCACGGCAAAGTCCACCTCCGAATGGTTGAAGAGCACGACACCCACGGGGCCGCGGTAGTCAGCGTCGATCACCCCGGCGCCCACGTCGATGGAGTGCTTCAGCGCCAGGCCCGACCTCGGCGCTGCAAAGAACACGAACGAGGCGGTGAGCATTTCGTCAAACACCCGACGCGCAGCCAAGAAACGTGATCCGAGAAAAAAGAAGAGGGACTCACCGATGCGCGCGTAGGTGCCCTCCGGGATGGCGATGCTCAGGTCGGTGGCCACCAGCGCCTTGCCCCTCGCCGGCACGACCGTCTCCACCGCGCTGAGACCGGACAGAGAAGCAGTCAGGGCAAAAGGGAAACAGCAGGCAAGGCATTATGTGACGATGGAGCACGTGCGTACCTGGAGAGGTCGTAGCCGGCGGCGAGGGCGGAGCCGCGGGACGGCAGGATGGCCTTGTCGGAGAGCTTCTTGACCTTGAGCAGGGGGGCCATCTTGGTGATCTTGTGGGGTGGCTCGTGCACGGGGTCAGCACCGGCGCCGTTGGTGGCGGCCATTGCGACGACGGAGAGCAGGGTTCTCGGTGGCCGGCGGCGAGAGAGACAAGGAGAGGCGTTGAGGCTGCGGCGGGGGACGATAAATAGGGACGCGGCGGGGCGGGAAGTGGAGCGGATGGCGCCAAATTCTCCCGCCATAAAATTTCGCCGCTCGTCCAAGATTTTTACCAACTACTACTATCGTGTACCATCATCGCTAACTTTTCTCCTAAATTTTCGTACGACTACTTTTTATCCACGACTAGTATATTAACATTATTATGACCTGCTGTTGTATGCCTTGTCTAGTTTTTTGACCGCTGCTATTTCACGTCCATCTGGTAAGGAGCCCTCAAACTAGTTGGCAGATGTTCTATGTACTGCTTTGAACAAGCCAGTGAAAATGCTTCAACTCGATTTTAAGATCCCAAATTCCAACTGAACTTTTCTTCTCAAGGGGGGCAAATTCGGTCGACAATGCCACGCCCAAACTGGCACCTGTTCTGTTCGCAACAATCGTGCTCTCAGCTGCAGAGAGAGCTGCGGCGCGCGCCCTATAGCTACCAATGAAAAACGGAGTACCTCCTTTACATTACAGCCATGATGAAGACAGACGGTTCTCGTGATCCGAGTCAACGCCTCGATTTATAGTACCAGAAATTTCACATGAAGGAGCAGGTCCGAGGATCCCCGCGCGTCTTGAATAAAATTTGGAAACTCCCAGAAAATCCTTGCAGAAAACTACCAAGGTTGCCTGCTTCTACGCCTCCCGCACAAAACCCTCTGAAAAGCGTGCAAAGACAAACCCACAAACCTTGAACCGAGATCAAATTCAGTTGTCTCCACCAGCAGCATCTTCATTGTCCCTTTTCCTCTTGATTGGCAGGGCAGATCCTGCAGACTTGTTTCCGTTGGCAACCTCGCTCTTCTCGGCTGCGCCTGAATCCGGTTCGTCGTCCTCAGCCTCATCTTCTTCGTCTCCAGCCTAAGAACAGCACAATTGAATTAGCTAACAAACAGATAAACGGCACAATTGGGCTAGCTAGAAGAGAAGTATAGATCAGTGGGCAGCATGTAGTGTGTACTATTATACAATTAATTAGGGAGCGCAAGTTATATGACCAACAGGTGAGGTTTAGGTTGTTGTTCGCTGGATGATTACTGGGTCACCTTATTAATGAGGATGCAGGGAAGTTGATGAAGAATTACAGAGATGGTTCTCTTCTCTATAAGAAGCATGGTAGATGCAAGTTCTGATAATGAACAGGAGCGACCTACAAGTGTGTAAACAGAGCCCAATGTCACCATCTTTGAATAAGAGCAAATAAGCACAATGTTGTGTGCTTGCATTGCCATCAGATCCTAATTTGTAAGTAAAAGCCAAGGTACTAATAAAACTATAAATGTATTCCTGTGTCCCACGGCTGTTCTAGTCTAGGCCATCATCCATGAGACTCTGGGATGGGATTCATGTCCAACTTCAGTTGAGCATGTGATTGCTGGGGTGCGATTTAGGGAGGGGGGATGATTGTGCCACGGTGGTGTGGTGAGGGGTGGCGCTGTTTGCTGGGGGCTATGGAATACTCAACGGCATATATATTTTTACAAGAAAATCCTTCGCCAACATACTGATGCTTTATATCATGTTACTTTCTTACTACAGCAATTGGTCGTTCTTTAGGACCGCGGGAGGCAGCTAATCTTCAAGCTGATCACTGAGTAGCGCAAGAAGGTGGTGTGAAGACAGCGGCGCTGATTTCAAGTTCTCTGTCTGGCATTTTTCTTGCCTGTGCTTGTAATAGAGCTTCCCCTGGGAGGAGGGAGCTTACTTCGGGGTGTTTTGTGTTTTGATCAGTCTGATTGGGTTCAAGAACTGAGATGCTGAAAAGTGTAGCGGTGTTGCTGTGGTGTAGTAATGCCGTTTTGGTGTTTTCTGTCTTTAATCTTGTAGCTGGTCTGCTGGTGTCCCCAGCCCCAGGGGCACACTGTTCGGTTGCTTGAAAAGCAGGGGGTATGCCTTTTATCTCAAAAATAAAACTAAATGTAGAAGTGGCTTTTGTTTAAGACAAACAAGAAAGTAAGTCACACAGAATGCAATGCATAACACTGGACAAACAGCAATTTAACCAAACATGTAGAAACTGTACAAATATCCAGTGAACTATGAAGTTTGTCCTAAAGCACAAAAGTACAGACAAGGAGAGAAGAGCAAATCCTAGGACCATACTGCAGATTGTCCAACAAAAATGAATGCAAACATATGGGTGCTACTTTGTATTAAAGAAGTTTCAAAATGCACTGGAAAACAATACAGCCTAGTGGAGCAGCAACCTAATTTGTGGGTTTTGCTTTACATTATTATAAATCACAAAAGAAGAGGAAGATAAGAAAGATTTTAATCATATTTGACACCGATAATAATGCAACTATCCTTTTGGGCTTTTGGCATTTGGCCACACATTGTAAAATAGTCGACAAATTTATTGTCACTGTGGATATTCATTTCTATGTACATCATACCAGTACACCACTATAGATATCTATTCGTATGTACGTCAAACCAGTATACCACTTAACAAATTTATTGTCACTTAAGATACCCATTTGTACATCATAGCAGTACACCACTATAGATACTCATTTGTATGTACATCATACCAGTATACTACTTAACAAATTTATTGTCACTTAAGATACTCATTTCTATGTACTCCCTCCTTCCATCTATATAAGGCCTAATGCATTTTTTGAGACTAACTTTGACCAAGTGGTAAAGCAATAATATATGACATGCAAGTTACACAAAGCATACCATCAAATTCGTATGTGAAAGGAGCTTCCAATGATATAATTTTCACATTATACATCTCATGTATTATTAATCTTATCAATAGTCAAATGCGGTCTTGAAAAACGCATTAGGCCCTATATAGATGGAAGGAGGGAGTACATCGTACCAGTATACCACTATACCGAGTTTTCAGGAAATGAAGAGGCCTACTAAAACAAAGAACTGTTCAAGATGTTACCCTGAATACTGGTATGATGTACATAATATGTACTCCCTCCGTTCCAAATTACTCGTCATGGTTTTAGTTCCTCCGTTCCAAATTACTCGTCGACAAACCAAATTACGTCTAACTCAATCACATGAAGCAATGAGGTTGTAAGGGCATCATGGCTTAACAATAGGGTTATGTGTCCTCTAATGACCATTGTTACCACTATGAGCAACGATTCGTTGTTTTAAAGGAAATCCTGCAGTGCAGTACCATAACATTACCAATACACCTCATTAACCGTTTAACTAGTTGTCACCTATGCGCAGGTTACTGAAGAAGTACCAACCAATACAGATTTTATCAAATGCCTATGCGCAGTGCAGTGCAATATGAGGAACATTTTATCAAATGCCAACCAATACAGATTTCTAAAGAGCAGAGGAATTAGAAGAGAAATTTCACCTCATCACCATCCTCGTCTTCATCTCCTTCCTCTTCCTCGCCATCTTCTTCTTCATCTCCATCCTCTTCCTCTCCGTCCTCTTCTTCCCCTTCCCCTTCACCGTCCTCCGCCCCTTCTTCGTCCTCCTCCTCGTCCTCATCCTCATCCTCCTCCTCGTCTTCATCAGACTCCAGACGGTCATTGCCCTCGGCATCGACGCCGTCCAAGTATTTTAAGCTGGGAACCAGCGCAAACACCTTCTCCCTGTACCCCTTGAGCTTTGTGACGGGGCACTGGTACAGGTCCAGCGACTCGACCCCGAGCGGCGCGAGCGGGGCGAGCTCCTCGACCGCGGCGAAGCGGTTGTTGCCGAGGTCGAGGTGGCGGATGGTCCCGCCGCAGGACTCGGCGACGGCGGCGAGGGAGTCGGCCCCGGCGAGGCGGTTGTCGGGGAGGGAGAGGCGGCGGAGGGCCGGGAGGCGGGGCAGGCCCGCGAGCGAGGAGAGGCGGGCGCCCGCGACGGAGAGCTCCTCGAGCGAGGGGAAGCGGTCGAAGAGGGCCGGCGAGGGGAGGCGGCCGGTGGAGGACTTGACGGCGCCGTCGAGGGTTAGGGTTTTGGGCGCGGAGAAGGGGGAGAGGGGCGCGCTCTTGACGGCCGCGCTGATGGCGCGCTCCCACGCCGCGTCGTCCTCTCCGGCGCCGGCGCCGGCCATGGCTGCGGCGGCGGGGCGGGCGGGGACGGTCGTGGGTAGAAGAACCCTAGCTAAACCCTGGAGCCGCAAAGCTTCGGAGGCGGACGGAGCAGACAAGTACGGAAATGGTGTGGTGTGTGGTGTGGCGATGTTCGTCCTCCAAGCGTTGGAAATGGGTTGTGATGGGCCCTTTTGGGGGGAAATTGATGGGCCCTGGGCTTATAGGTTTATGTGCAGCTTGACAGAATTATTATTTTTTGTCTACAATCCCTCAAAAAAAAAATGTCTACCAGAGCGTTGAGTGAAGAAAATATACTTGCATACTATGCATGTTTCGCACGATTTGACTTTTGAAAAATAAAAACCTCGTGACAAGGATATTCGGTAAAAGTTGACAAGAGGAAATAGTGCGATCCGTCTTTAGGTATGTGAATTCTCGCCTTTGACTTTTAGTTATATGAGATTCCCCACATAGACTTTCTGAGCATGATATCAGGATGTATATACAAACAGTAATGCTATACGTACCGACATTTATAGGCTGAGATTAATTACAAGCTGACATGGCATGGTTTGATTGGCAAGAAAGGGAGAAAGCGGGGCCACCCAGGTGAAAATCAGGGCCGAAGAGAATTAGTGAAGGGCTTCCGTAACTTGCCTGTAATAGGCCCGTTGGTCTAGGATTATTGATATACAAATCGCAGAATGAATAAAAAAATCTACTTTTCCAGAGAGATTTTTGATTGAAAGGGTATCTACTAATCTTCATCTTTAATCTACATCGAAATCTATGAACTTTTCTAGGGGTGTATCGGAGAAAAACTCGGATGGAGATATATAAGAGAAAAAAAAAGCATACCTTCTTGATGTTATTCCGTGGGCTATGCATTGTACAGCGTTCAATATGTTCACTCTAAATGTGACATGGGGTAGTGTGCCGCGTAGCTAATTTTATGACTACTTTCATGCGCTTAAGTGCATAATTCAAACCAGTGTTTACCTCCGAATCATTTACAGGTTTGTACATGACTTCCCATCGCTGCAAGATCCCATGATCATTTGGTGTTTCAGTAGGCATGTAGACCCCCAAGTCATGATCTTCTTAACACCTTTCACGTGTAAATAGTTCATCGCACTAATAATTTTTTCGGAAAAGCCTGAATTGTAGGTCAGGGTAGTTTCTTTGAAAAAAAAACTTATTCTATGCTAAGATAGTATTTGGTTCTCTCTAAGTATTTCATATTGGTCTCAGGTTACAATTTGTGAGTTCACTTACTCTATTACTTATTTTATCCTCATAATATTCAAGCCATTTGCATTCATGTTGTCGGTGCACGAAATTTTCAAAACCATGTATACGGCGGCATACGTAGTTAAAGAAACACGGAGGTGAGAGCGATACAAGGACAACAAAGCTAAAACCCTAGCGGCTACAACTCTTGAATCGGTATGTGACTTCATGCGTAGTTGGTGATGTAGAAGATGTTGAGTTTTTCTCCTAGGCCTATGGGTCCTTATATATGCATCTTGTCCTAGCCTCCAAGTGGAGCAGAAACCGAACCAAACTCGAACTCCTCCATTGATAAGAAAAGTACCATATCCTCTTCGCATCGTCTTCCAAATCGGCTCTTGTCTCCTTATCCGCATGCCACGAGATGGAAAGTTTTGGAGCATCTTTGGTCTTATGTATACAAATGTCTTTGTTTAGTCTCCATATGATGTGGACAATAAATTAAAAAAATCATATGCCCAAAGAGTAGAGAGATGAAAGAGAAAGGAATACAAGGAATTCGTTATAGCGTCATTACTTAAACAAAACCCGAAAACTACAGAAGTGTTTTTTTTATCCCGAGCACACATGCTCCCCCGTGAAGAGTAAAATTGAAAAAAAGTACAAATTTCAAAACATTGTGATTTTTTAATGATAAACATTGACGAATGTTTCAATTGCGTTCAAAAAATGTGAGCAAATGACATTTGTGGAGGCCTGTGCAATTGTTTTTGTTTGATATTCCAAACAGCTTCCAACAATAATCTTTATGAATCATCGGGTTTTTTTCACAGACCTCCATGAATTTTATTTAATCGCGAAATTTTGCACGCAAGGGTGAAGAATTCATCAATGTTTATCGCACAAAAAACAGATTGTTTATATTTTTTATTGTTCATCATGGGGCATGTGAGGTTGAGATAAAAAACTCAATATCCCAAAATTACAAAAAAAAATAGTAACCATTATATGAGGAATGGATTTTTCAGGAATTTCCTGAGTTGCCTTTTTTTCTTCTTTTTTGCGGGTGGCCCTGATTTTCTTTAGACGGTGAGATAATAAGAAGTTTTTTTTAGGAAGCCCCGATAATAAGAAGGTTTTTTTAGGGAGCCCTGATAATAAGAGGTTGAAAACAGTGAGCAAGCTTCCCTAAAAAAACAGTAAGAAAGCTAGAAAGAGAGGGCCGTGTCATATCGGACCGCGGCACAGCGCCGATCGTGATGGATCGACCGATGGACCCGGGCCGCCCATCAGCAGGGCACCACGCAGGCACGGCCGGTTCCGGTCGAGATCGGTCTCGCTCGCTCTCATGTCACGGACGCGTGCGTGAGGGGGACGAATGGTCCTGCGACACAGCGACCCCGGGCGAGACGAGACGAGACAAGATGCGTCCGGTCCAAAGTCTGCAATCAAGTTACTCCTAGGTCCTAGCGGCCTGCCCTAATTAATTTCTCGTCAGGCAGAAGCTATGGCTAGCTTGATATAGCGACGAGTCAGCTGCAGACAAACGCACACGCACACATCCATCGGTCACCAGTTCCCAAACGCACCCGGCACCGGCCGTGCATCGTGGACCGGGCGAGCGCTGCGTGCCAACGGCCGTACGTGTCGCTGTACCGGCCGGGCCGGCGCATGTGAAGACGCAGTCCGTCCGTCCGAGCGTGCACGTGAACGGGGCGCCATGTCCATGTGCCGCCGTCCGCCCGTCCGTACCCGGTGAGCTAGCTAGCTAGCCCCATCGCGAGCACGTACCGGCCGGGTCATGGTGGCCGCATGCACCGCGACGGCATGGAAAACGCATGCTCAAGTTAAGGGTACGGCTGGGCAGATCGGATCGAGAGGCTACGATGCATATGGGTGAGAGGTTGGGGGTTGGACGGCACGGAGGAGAGCGACGGTGCATGCACGCGCGCGCGCCGATACGGATGCATGCATGATCTCGCGCGCGCGGGCGGCATGGGAGGGGGGTAGAGACGCCACACGGGGCACGCCGGAGCGCGCGCGCGCGCGCGCACGGCCCGCGGCGCCTCCGATTATATGCGTCCCTGCGTGTGTGCGCGCGCAGCTGGCGTGCTGGTCGGCTGTACCAGGCCCCATGCAAAGTGCGTGCACCGACGGCGGGGATTGCCCGCGGGCTCGCGCGGCGTGTGACCAACCAACCGGCCGGCGGGTGGCGTCGGTGGCTGCTGCTACACTGTCAGTCACTGTGCGTGTGAGTGAGTGGTGGAAGAATCTGAGCCTGATGGATGGTGTTGGTGCTGTCTGCCGCGATGGAGCGGGGAGCAGGGCGTCAGTCTGTACAGTGCATTCGTGCAGATGCAGG